ATTTTTGGGTATAGATGGAAAGGAGAGGGTTTGAAAAAAAATATAAAATTGTTAATATGTGAAATTTTGCACTTGCGCGCGTAGTAGGAAGGGTGTAAAGAGGCCCATATTTACCCTTTCCCCGAAGAGAAAGTGAAAAAAGCAGGGTAGGGGTTATTTGCGATGCCTTAGCAGGAACTGCATGCGATGAATTTTCCTGAGAGTCTGAAAAATTTTTGGACTTGAATTCTTCTTACTCTGTGCCAAGTTTCAGGTAAGTTGAGCTGGTGTAATTTTTTTAATCATTTTTTATAGTATAAAGGAATGTATAGCAAAATAATTGGTAGTCTGTGTCCATATTTGACGTTTATAAAAACTTGTTCAAATGAAATAAAATAAATAATTGTTCAACGTAATTTTATTCAGTTATTTTAAATATATTTAACAGAACTTAAAAAAGTTATTTATTCTTTTTCTTACTTGTACGACGATGTGTACCAGGGACAGATAATTCAGTTTTTACAAGCGCCAAATTTAAATCACTGAAAAGCCATGTCGACAAAGAGCCAAACAGTTCGACTAAGCACCATTATAAAGCATTATTTTGTTTGAAAAATATATCTTTTTATTGATCACGTATGGTAACATAAAATTGTACATGACGTTTTACATGCATTTTTGGGGGGTTCTTTTCTTCAATTACGTCATTTATTCACCTCGGAGTTCACTTCCGGTTTAGTGGCATGGAGTCCAGGATGAGCTGTCAAACTGGAAAAAAGGCTATGAACAGCCCGTAATCGTCAAGCAGATTTGATTTCTAAACTTGAATAAATAGCACAAACACTCCAGATACTGAATTAGTTGCGAGATTTTTCCGACCAAGCCCAGATCTTTTTGTTTAGGTGGGTCCCCCCAAAACACGTTGCCATCCTGGGGTTTTTTTTAGTTAAGGGTAGGAAAATTTTTTTCCGGATTTTTTTTTTTTTTTTTGACGATTAAAACTTCAGACTCCTGTGGTGCAGTCTACTTGTATGTCAACTTTATTTTGAAATCAGACCAAAACTGTAAGAGTAGTATCAGACCTAAACTGGAGGAGTAGGATTTAGAAAAATTTAGAAAGACTTATGAACGGAAGACGAACACCTTGCTATGGCATAAGTTCTTATGGTCTTTGACAAGTATAGTTAACAAGAGGCCCAGAAGCACATCGCTCACCTGAGCACATCGGCTAGAAACAAAGCACAAAGCAGATCAGAACTGAATAGTTTACCTAGGTGGGGTGGGGATTGGGCTTTGAATTTTGATACTGCTTGAGAATTCCTTCATATCAATACAGCATATGACTTTGCTGTTCTTGTTAAAATGATTTTTTAAAATCATTTTGTTCCTGTTTATTAATTACTTCCTAATAATTTTGAATTTGATTCCCACTTGTTTAACTCCAAAGGGCCGTGATTTAAACAAATTTGAATCTTCAATACATGAGGATGCTTACATGTCAGTATGACTAAACATAACTTTTCTGTTCTTGGGATTTTTCCCTTTATTTTTCTATGTATAAAACTTTGATCCACCCTTGTGGCCCCACCCTACCCTTGGGGGTTATGATTTGAACAAATTAAATTCTACACTACCTGAAAATGCTTCCATTTAAATACTAGTAACACTAATCATGGCTCCGATATTCTTGAGATTTATATTTATATATATTGTAATGTAAAACTTGGATCCCCCATTGTGGTCCAAACCTATCCCTGGGGGTTTAATTTAAAGAAACTAGAATCTACACTACCTGAGAATGTTTCCAAATAAATATCACCTAATCATGGCTTTGAAGTACTTGAGAAGAAGATTTTAAAAGATTTCATTATATATTCCTATGTAAAACTTTGATCGGCCATTTTGGCCCCATGCACCCTACCCCCCGGGGTCTTGATTCGAACAAATTTGAATCTACACTACCTGAGGATGACTCCACACGAGTTTCATCTTTCCTGCCTCAATGGTTCTTGAGAAAAAGAATTATTTTCCATTATACATCTGTATTCCTATGTTAAACTATGATCGGTCATGGTAGCCCCACCCTACTTCCGGGGGTAATGATTTGAACAAACTTGAATCTACACTACTTGGAGATGATTCTACATGAGTTTCATCTTTCCTGGCCCAGCGGTTCTTGAGAAGATTTTTCCTATATATTCCTATGTAAAAATTTGATCGGCCATTGTTGCCAACCCTACCCTCGGGCCGGGGGTCATGATTTGAACAAAACTAGAAATCTACACTACCTGAGGATGTTTCCATATAAATATCACTAATCATGGCTTTGAAGTACTTGATAAGAAGATCGATTTTAAAAGATTTCCCTATTATTCCTATGTAATTAGTAGTAGTATTTTGAAAAATTGTTTACATACAGACAGACGGACAACAGATACCTCACTATCGCATAAGCTCTTCTGGTCTCTGATCAGTAGAGCTAAAAATTAATTCAAATGCCATAAACAGCGACAAATTTTATTCAAATAAAGAAATAAATAAACAACAATATGGATTATGTCTGCACAGTTTCCTCGAGGACCTGTATGGTTCCGGACACAGTCATGTCACCTTCTGTACCTATATCATTGTCCGTAACAAGGTCACCATCTGTTGTAATGTCACCCTCAGTAACAATATCATTTTCTGTGACTATGTCACCATCTGTTGTCATGTGGCCCTCTGTAACGATATCATTGTCCGTGACTATGTCACCACCTGTCACACTCTGTAGGATTTCTTTCTCTTCATAGGTTGAGTCAGTCTCTAACACCACAGACTCAACATTGCCCTCGGGCTCCAGCTTCGGGTCACACATGTCCTCGGGGTGGCCCAGATTGGTCAGAGTCTCGGTGGATTGGTGGTTTATGTCTGAGGGGGTGCACACCTGGTCTGATGGAGTTTCCGCTCCTGTTTGATCTACCCCTAATGTTGTCAGCGGCTGATCAGTTGTCTCAGTCATACTGTCTCTTTGTTGCTGTTGCTGCTGTGCTGCTAATTGCTGAAGGTCATAAAAGGACTCAGTCATCAAAAGTTTTATCAAGTTTACCCACAATGAACAGATATACAATATACATGAATCAAAAACTATTTATATCAAAGTATTTGTGCACCATGATTTTCATTCATCAAATTTCAGAAAATTGTGTCTTTTTTTCCATAAACATTTGCTTTAACATGGTGTATTTATTGACACTTTAGTTGTACTGTGTATTTGTGTAATGTATACCTGTAGAGCCTCCAGCTGCGCCGGGTCGGTGATGACAAACACCTGTTGCTGGCCGTGCTCCCCCATTGTGATGGTGGCTATGTTAGCACTGGGCGGTACCTGGTCATTGGGTAATAGAGATTCCTAGAATTCACAACAAAGGACAATGAAAATAACTTGTCCTTCATAAATCACCACTGTTTTACAGAAAATTGGTATTCCAAATTACTTCTTAAAATCTGTATCTAAAATGCTGCAAATAAAGGATAAATTTTCTTCACACACTATGAATCCCACCCTTTGAGCAGATGTTTTTTTCTGACACTTTGAATTTCTAACCTTAATCCTCCACATTCAATAATTATGTTCCATAAGATACTACAGTGAAACAAGCTTATAACAAAGTGCCAGGAACGCAATATTTTGTTATTAAGCGTAATTCATTATATTTATAAAATTTACATCATGTACAGTAAAACTCGGTTATAGCGAAGTCAATGGGACCTAGAAAGTTACCTCACTATAAACTAAATTAGTTATATCCGTATAAGGATCTCATTAAATTTACAAGTTGCAAGATAATTTAACTATATCCGTAAATTCGCAATATCCGTTTTCGTACTAAACAAGTTTTACTGTACCTGTGTATTCTGTGTTTCTGTGTTGATGACGACAGCCTCATTCTGAATCAGGGTTTCCCCATGCTCCTCCTTTGCCTCTATGCTGTACTCAAACTTCGCCCTCTTTTCTGGCGGTTGTTCACCATTTTTTGCTGTAAACAGGAGGTTAAAAGTTTAATATTTCATTTATGGGTTCTTCAAAAGAGATTCCTTTCTCCCAACATTTTTACTTCTCCTAAAGGGAGATGTTTTTTTTTCAGGAATCCAAGAACTTTTTACACGTTAGAGGTAGTCAAGACTTATTTGATTTCTAAGCTTTACTCTAACATTTACTATAAGACACTTTAAATTTTTTTCTGTATTGATCATGTTGATGTGGATTAGACCACAAACGTGGATTAGACCACAAACCTACATAAAGTATCAACTGATCATGAAACAAACTTGATTAGTATTTGTAACATTTTCATAGATAACATACTCCGCATATTGTAATTTTTATGTAAATTAAATAACCGTGTTTTCTGACTCACAGAAGATCTGTTCGTTGTAGACCTGGGCCTCGTACTCCGCTGTGGTATCTTCTCCGTGAGCCGTCCGTTTATGCATGGCTAGCGTGGACGTCTGTCTGTATGTCTTACCGCAGTGATTACAGTGGTAGGGTTTGGAGTGGGTGTGAACCACGTGGTGTTTATAGAGGGAGGAATACTCAGTAAACCGCTTACCACAGCCGTGAACCGTACAGACGTAAGGCTTCTCACCTGTATAGAAACAAAACATTACCATCATATAGAGAAATAAAAAATCAAATAAATATACTGTACAGACTTGCATCTTTAGACTCTCCTGTAAGAAACAAAACATGTTTTAAAATTGTTCCGAGATACTTTTGCCCCCAGTTATTTAAGCCCTTTCACACTTGCAGCCAATTTTGTCTGGTTTTAAATTCGCCCAGTCATTGATTTAAATAAATTATACAGTATACTTTGAATTTGTCCCATTTTAAATTAGCCCAAATAAGAGTATTAAGTTTTATTGTTCATACATGTATAAATGACATTTTCTTGAATATCCATGCATAAAAAATAAGTATTTAGGCCACAAAATATTAATCAATAGTTTCTCGGGCCAGAAATTTCAGACAGGAAGGCTTTTCTTTTTTGAAGCAGGTAGACTTTTTTTTTCATATCAGTTGTTCAACAAAATGATGATATTAATTGATTCTTGCTTTCCTGTTCTCTTTTAATTTTTTAATAATGTACTCAACTTTATTTACCCGGTAATGTTATTCCACACATTCTTTTAAAAGTCAAATAGACCTGAAGAATTATGAATATTGTTTATCTAATGAAAAAAATTGTCTATTAATTGTTGTACATGTAAATAGGGAAATAACTCATTTTTCTTTTTCAACTTAGACTGTGTGGTGTTCTTTTCATTTTCAAAATGACAACGTGGAATTTTGACCAAATGCAGCATTGAAACTGAAATTTTTTTAGCCTTGTTTACACAAAAGATTTTCATAACATTCACAAAACCACCATGACTTTATTAACAAAATATCTGAACATGCTTACAATATTTATTCTTAAAAGATGTTATTAGTAAGCTTCTGAAAATTTTTGATACAAGGAAACTGCAAACCAGTCACATCAGAATACTGTAAACCTGTGATGCCTGGATACTGAAAACTTCCTACCTACTGTAAATCACTTTTTATTCGCGAGAAGTTTATTTTCGCGTAATTACGCGAGACAGTGTACTCGCGAAAATTTAATTATTGCATAAAATAGCATTCCTTAACAGGGGTAGAAACTCCCTAAAATTACAACTCGCAAATAATTGCGAGTTCCAAAAATATGAACTCGCAATTTCAAAAGACAACTCGCAATTTTAAAATAAAAGCTTTCTCGAAATAAATCACCATCCATCCATTTAAAAAAAAAATCAAAATTTTCTACATCAGGTTTAAAAAAAAATTATGTTTGTTTCCTGTAACATTCCCCAAAAATCATTGTTCAGAAGGTCAAGATTTTTTTCCTTATGATTAATAGAGCCAACCATCCCCAGACTGAATAAACCAGGTGTTATATTTACAGTGGACACCTAACATGGCAACCAACATGACTGCCTAGCTGCAAAAAACGAACTTCAAAAGTGGTTGGGGGGGGGGGGGGGGGGAATTGTAGTTACAATAATTCATTATGATTATTCTTTATATTTAAAGTAAATGTTAACTAGGTTGACATATTCTATGTCTCAAGTTAAGCTACAATTAATATTTTTTTGAATAAATGGATTCCGAATCAGCTGATTGATCAAACCACACAGACTGGGAGAAAAAAAATCCACCTGGAGGTAATTTGAATAGATCAGTTGTTTTTTTTTAAGGCCTGGTTGTCGGACATGGGTTTAAAAATGGGGATGTCGGATAAATTCTTCCCTCGGTGAAATTTACAGTGAAACAAGATGTGTTTGTGAAACACTATGCGCCCTGCGTCAACAAAGTTTGAAAAAGCTATTTTTAGTATATAGGCCACAGTCAAGGTCACAAGGTCATTGACCTTGGTTTTGTTTAAAAGAACTTAATTAGTGGAGTATGCGTACTAAATATGAAGTCCCCATCTCCTATGGTTCAAAAGTTATGGCAAAAAGTGGAAAAATCTATTTTTAGTATATAGGTCACAGTCAAGATTACAAGGTCATTGACCTTGGTGTTGTTTGAAAGAACTTAATTAGTGGAGTATGCATACTAAATATGAAGTCCCTATCTCCTATGGTTCAAAAGTTATGGCAAAAAGAGGAAAAAGCTACTTTTAGCATATAAGTCACAGTCAAGGTCACAAGGCCATTGACCTTGATGTCATTTGAAAGGACTTTATTAGTGGAGTATGCATACCAAATATGAAGTCCCTATCTCTTATGTTTCAAAAGTTATGACAAACAGTTGAAAAGCTATTTTTAGCATATAGGTCACAGTCAAGGGCACCAGGTCATTGACCTTGATGTCATTTGAAAGGACTTTATTAGTGGAGTATGCATACCAAATATGAAGTCCCTATCTCTTATGGTTCAAAAGTTTTGGCGAAGGTTAAAGTTGACAACAGACAGACAGACAAACAGAAACAGATAAACAGACAAACAGACAGGACAAAAACAATATACGCCCGGGATCTATCGATCTGGGCGCATAAAAAATCAACTCGCAAAAATTTGCGAGTTGCAAATTTTTTAACTCGCAATTTGGAAATTCTAACTCGCTTTTTGCGAGTTGTACATAGTGAATTTCGAAGATTATATAGAGCAATATAACCACAATTCCTGAAAATTTTGTCTTGCTAAGCAAGAATCAATGACTATCTTGTGAAAAATAAAGTGTAGTGAAAATTAACTGATCTACAGTATATATTCAGAATCTGTTACACTAGATATTGTAAATCTTTTAACACCTGGACATTTTATCTACCTGTGTAGATTCTTATGCGATTCTTTCAGAGTACATACCTGTGTGGATCCTGATGTGATTTTTATAGTTGGTGGCACTGGCGAATGCTCGGCCACACCCTTCCTCATTACAGATGTACGGACGTTCGCCGGTATGAGTTCGGATGTGAACCTTTCTTATGTTGGACGTGGTAAAAGATCGCTCACAACCCTCAAACGGACACTTAAAGGGACGCTCTCCTGAAAAAAATTAATACGTATGCTCATAAACTGAGACTCAACGTCTTAAAAAAGTTAACATGCTAGCATAAACAAATTTCCTTCAAAATCTAAAGGACAAATTTTACAATCATTTTTCAGAATCCCTTCCAAGACTTCTATAAACTTCAATATTTCCAAAACAGATTTACATGAACATAACGAGTATATACAAATCTCTTTATTAATTCATCAGAATGTGAAATAGATGTCTCCGTGAGCATTTTATTTTTGTATAATTATATTTATTTTCAGGAATAAGAAGTACCTTTCTGCACATGATTCACATAAATCTTACACACCCTCTGTCATGCCTATGTGAATACTGTCAAAAGCCTGACAGGTATCACTTAAATCTCTTATTTCTTGTGTGGGCAAGAACATGTTTTTGTATATCATACCTGTGTGAGTACGAACATGTTTCTGTATAACATACCTGTGCGAGTACAGACATGTTTCTGTAGGTCCCCCGATGTCTTGACCCCTTGTCACACCCCTCCTACATACCTGTGTGGGTACGGACATTTTTCTGTATATCATACCTGTGTGAGTACGGACGTGTTTCTGTAGATTCCCCGATGTTTTGAACCCCTTGTCACACCCCTCCCACATACCTGTGTGGGTACGGACATGTTTCTGTATATCATACCTGTGTGAGTACAGACGTGTTTCTGTAGATTCCCTGATGTCTTGAACCCCTTGTCACACCCCTCCTACATACCTGTGTGGGTACGGACATGTTTCTGTAGATCCCCCGATGTTTTGAACCCCTTGTCACACCCCTCCTACATACCTGTGTGGGTACGGACATGTTTCTGTATATCATACCTGTGTGAGTACAGACGTGTTTCTGTAGATTCCCTGATGTCTTGAACCCCTTGTCACACCCCTCCTACATACCTGTGTGGGTACGGACATGTTTCTGTAGATCCCCCGATGTTTTGAACCCCTTGTCACACCCCTCCTACATACCTGTGTGGGTACGGACATGTTTCTGTAGGTCCCCCGATGTTTTGAACCCCTTGTCACACCCCTCCTCTGGACACTTGTAGGGTTTTTCCCCGGTATGAACACGCGTGTGAGATTTCAGTCCGTACCCGGTAGCGAAGGCTTTACCACAGCCCTCGTAATCACATTTAAACGGACGGACTCCAGTGTGAGATCGTTCATGAACCTACAAAAGAGTTCCAATTATCTGCCTTGCGTCTTAAATTATTACTAAGGTTTCAACATTTGAATCAAACATTTTTTTATAAAGCTAAATTTAGAATACATTTCTCTGTATGGACACCAAATAATAAGTTAGAGAGTCATCATCTTTTAGTACTTAATTTAAGATGGTATATATATTGGTATATAAGCTGTTTGTTGGTAAATATTAGGGATGGCAATCCATTGCAGAATTGCTAATCGGTTAACCGCAAGACGTTCCGACCGATTAACCGGTTAGTCGTATCAAGATATACATTTTGACATTTTTTTCAAATATACAAGAAGGCTATAAAATGCATTATAAGTTATTTTCTGTTTATCAATCTTGATCGGGGAATTTAATTTCTAAAAATTTCAATAGATGAGAAAAAAATTACGAAAACTAAAAATTGTGCCTGAAAAATCAAACGTGGATAATTTTCTAAGAATTAAAGAAGTTCATTCTGCATTGTCACCATAATTAAAACTTTGT